CTCTCTCTCTCTCTCTCTCTCTCTCTCTCTCTCTCTCTCTCTCTCTCCCTCTCTCTCTCTCTCTCTCTCACACACACACACACACAGAGAGAGAGAGAGAGAGAGAGAGAGAGTAAACAAATGCACATAGTAAATTAAGTCTGTTCACTCAAACCTACAGAAGAGGGCTTTCATCGCTTTGAAGTATAACAAATCTTATTTGCAATTTACTGTCTCTTTATTTCATTTTCTTTACTTGAATATAAGCAGGCGATATATATGGAGATTAAAGTTATCCTTAATGTGCATGACAATTATAATGTTCAGATAAAAATTTTGACTGTGATGGACCTCAAACTTATGACAGAGCATGTATAGCTGTGACAGGTTTTCTCAGTTAAAAAACACTGACATCCTTAGAGCAGAATTGTAAGGGATTTTTTTTGTCTGCTTTATTTTACCCACTTAGCTCAGTGCACAAGGCTGTCTTTATGTGTTTCACTCTCTTCACCTGACATGTACCCTTGTATCATCAAGGAGTATTTAGAGATGCACATTGGCAAATTATCCCTCTCCTCCCCCCAAAAAAGTCCTCGGATACTTGTGAAGGCCTTCAGACAGTTATTTAGTCAATCCTAACAGTTACCTCACGATGTACAATCAAGAAGTTCACAAGCTCTCTTTTAAAATTATTTTATAACTACAAGTAGAGTCAGGGGTAGAAATAAGACTGTATATAGACATGAACCCAGCCTATTCTCCAGCCTTGCTATCTCAAAGCATGAATCCATCCAGACAAGCTGTTGAGGCTACGAGAAAACACTCAGTAAGAACAGTTCTTAATGTGTGGCAGAGAATACACAGTCAGGTTTTAGACAGCATATGATACTGGAGCAGAACAAGAGTCTCCAGGCCCAAACGTAGGTGGAGAAAACCATTCACTCTTCACCCTACTCTGTCTCAAAAATGAAGGGTGAAAGCAAATATATCAGGAGGTGGATGGGAAAACCAGAGAGGTGCCATGTCAAAGCAGAGCTACTGCATTCCCTGGTCTCACTGAAGTCAAACCTTCTGACTTCTTTCTTTCCCTATGTTGTCTGAAAAGTGCTAAAGTATCCCTTAAGGTTCAAAGCTCAGTGCACGGGGAAGACGATAGCTACTCCTAATTAATACTATGTGCTGACTGCTGCACTAAGAATTCTAACATTACCTCCCATCTATATAATCAGTCTCCAGTTCATGGATGAGAAACTGAGGCACAATAGGAATGGCTGAGATGCCCACAGGCACGGATTAAGTCAATGGGTAGAGTGGGATTACATAACCTCCTGATTCTGCAGCCTGTGTTCCTTCTTTTGTAGGCTCACCCCTGTTCCTAATTCCTGGCTGCCACGTTCCCAGTCTTTTATTCAGTTTTGTTCTGAGGGCCCTGCTAGGGTAAAATAAAAGGACCCCACCTAACACATGATGAGTCTATAGTAGATCCAACCCTTCCTGCAAAGTCACTGATGGGTAATCATTCCAGATAAACACTGAACCAGAGGTCTCCCTAAACTTGGCACTTTCTTTCAAAGGTTTGCCCAGAGCCTCCAAGATCTTCAAAACCTTTCTTACTTCCTACTACAATTTTGTCCTGGTTAGTTTTCCTCAATTTACATACTTCCTTTTCCATAACAGGCCTGTTATAATCTGTAAAAGGGCATCTGAGACCCTCACTTGAGTAGAGCTACATCTTGATTGCAGGGGCCACTCTTACAGGTGTTCATGAGTAGTGATGTCAGCATCTAGATCAGTGGACAGGTCCTTCCCAGGCCTCTCACTTAACAGCGCTACCTTGGAATGTTTTAAATAGTCTCATAAATAATTTGCTTATAGTATTGTTAGTTTGAGTTTTATGTGAGGAGCTGTCTAACATCAGAGAAATGAAATCCCTCCCTGTCTGCATAGAAGGTCTCTGACAGTATTGATTCATGGAAGCCCTAATGGACTTTGAAAACATTAAGAATGCCCATTTCTCAGAGTGTTTTAGTTTCTGAAAATGAATCTCCTGAATTATGATCTTTCTCCCTGTTCGTTGGCTGGGGAAGAGATAAAAGCTATATAAACAAGTTCTCTTCCATGCTGAAAGCAAGGGTCTATGTCCATAGCCTCCTGCAGACGGGGACTCCTGTCACTTAATTGAATTTCAGCAACAATTATTTCTCAGATGACAATGCCACCACTCTAAGTGGGTTGACAAGTGGGAATAGTCACATCAATAACAGGTTTTTTTCCCCCGAATTTCATCTCTAGAAATGTGAAGTGTTTGAGTGACTCTAGTTATGAATTATTCTTTTTTCAAAAGCAGGTGTAGCCAAGTCCTTGACAGAGAGATTAATCTTTGTTGAGAAATGAGGGTTTATAAGAGAGAATTTCTCTCCAATTCTACTAGTAAAAGTGTCCAGGCAATCAAAAACTAAGATATTTTAGGAATATTTTGACATCTTCCTTTTATACTCATTTTGTTCTCTAAAAATACAACATAAAACATTACAGATGTCTTTTCCCCTACTCGTGTTTCTAGCTTTCCCGTGGCAGAATTTTATGATTGTATCCAAACCATAGAATATATTTTGTTCCTCAAATTATTGTATTCAGTAGGTATCATTGAACTGGGCACTGGTGCCTACATGCAAGGCTCTTTCCTATCAACGTGTGTGTGTGTGTGTGTGTGTGTGTGTGTGTGTGTGTGTACAACTTGTTGTGTTTGGAGGTCCATCTTTGAACCACCATAGAATGGTGGTTGTATTGTTTTGTCCATGTCTATGTGGGACATATTGCATCACATGGCAAAGCAACTATAAATGGATGTGAGATAACGAATTAACAAAACCAGCTTGAAAACATCGTCTTGTGTATTACATCATCCTGCCTCATAATGCAATTATGTGTATCATGATCACTTTTTACAAAGAGAAACCAGCAAATTCATGTTTGTCCATAGAAGGGTGTACTAGGAATTGTCTGTGTTGTGAAACTATGAGAACAGACCACCTTTGATATACCCACCTGCCACTTAAAATGACTTAGTTATAATTAGTAGTAGTCTAGACGTTGCTCTTTTGTGTGGGGGTCAGTGCAGACATCATAATCCTTTGAATAAATCTCCCAGTCATATCTGAAAAAAAAATACATAAGAATAAAGAAAAACGTCATCTTTGGCCAAATCAAGCAGACATCTCTTTGCTTTTCCTCAACACTGAGCTCATTACACATGGTGATTGGATCACAAGATCGTTGTGTGTAAAAATATGAAAATGTTGTTTACTTATTCTAGGCTGGAAACCTCTGCACAGCAAAGTGAATAGATGAGCTGCTTCTGGTTCATATTTATGGATGTAATCTTACAAAAAGACTCTTGGGCATATGACCCAGAGAGTTAGTGTGCCCAGAGGAGAGCCTACACATTAAAGGATAAAGTCCCCTAAGGATGCTGGCAAGCAAATGTGTTGAGTTCTTAAATCTTTGTTCAGTTTTTCTGTTCAGAGTTTTAATTGCAAATGAATTTATTTCTTCAGCTTAAAGATCTAATTTCCTAATAGTTTCCTCCGCATTTATATACTCTGTAGTGTTTAGGCAGCTCCTGTTATAAGTTTATTAATATTATGTAAGTGTTGTTCTTGTATTTATGTATAGTGTATGTATTGTAAATATACTCAGAGCTTTTCCTTTTTACTGTAAAATGGTGATTTTTTTTTGCCCTATGATAATGAAAAGGGAGACTCTCCTAATGAGGTTCTCTCAGAAGATTATTCCAGTCTATTCTCAGAGATTTAAATGAACAAGTGTTATCGTTTTCAATGGTGTCTCAGACATATTCTGTTGGTGCATCGCTTTTCTGTATTCAACTTTCCTATGAATTGAGCTGTGAACTGAAATAGAGTTTAAACCTTTATCTGTATGCATTTGTATAATTATCTGAATGAAGGCATGAAGGTTAAATAAAGCATTTTGTATGGAACAAGACTCCCTAATTATTACCAAGGCTGAGTCAGGCGCTTTAGAAATCATAGTTATTAACCATTCTAATTAAACCTTTGTTCAGGAAGTTTTACTGACTGCAAATAGTATATTGAAACCAGGGAGAAGATAGAATTTGTGTTTTAAAAAGAGTGAAATTTTTATTTTGCAACAACCATCACCTAGAAAGAGATTCCTAACGTTTTAATGATTAAGTCACTCAAAGATGGTCCAGAAATGGATCCAGAAAAGCTGTGTGATCCACAGACACTGTGTGATTCAGAAAAGCTGTGTGATCCAGAAGATGTATCTCTCATGGCTCAAAATTGAATCCCATGAGTTGCAATTTTGTCAAACTCTGTGTGTCATAGAATGATCCATGGAGCATGGCAAGGCTGGATTCTCTGCGTTTTTAA